AATTGGTGGCTGACTAAATACTTTTTTTCCCCACTGTATGTTCAGACCGCTCATTTGCGCACCATGGTTGACAGCTGTTAATTCACAATCACTGTTTCAGATGGACTAACTGTAATACTGTAAGATTTCCATTCAAAATGAAAGCATAAATCTAGGCTATGAGCTGCCGGTTTCACAGCAAAATAAAAAAACAGACATTTCATTCACTGACGCGCTTCACTTGGCAGTGCTAAACACGACAACACATATACTTACTTGCCGGCAACACATCAAAATATAAGCTTGCTGATTTTAGGTTTGGAAATTATGAAAATGTATATATTTATTTTATTATTTTTGTTTTTTTTTATAGTTATATTTAATGGGTCACACTGTGTGCAGACTGAAAAACGTATGTGCACCCCTGTGTATATGTATATAAATTAACACACATGTTGCAACAAGGCTTATATTTGTGAGTTATATTATATTTTTAAAATGAAGAGATTGGTTCCAAAACGCAATAAACGGCATTTTTTTAAGAAAATTGCGTTTCCACCAAAATCAGTATTGTATCTGGTCGGCATTGAAAAGTCAATTTTTAATTTTATGCAAATTGCGATATCCGCCATGTTATTCTGTCATGTTTTCTCGCTTTCTTTCCAAACCACGACAAACGCCAGTCTCCCTTCTCTGCAGAATGCGATACATCCGCTCAACCAATCACAGCGCACCACTCCACGCATGTGATTGTCATGCGCATCTCGTCAGTAAAGCCGGTTCTGTGATTAGTAGTAAATCTCCATCACGTGCTTTCAGATGGAGCGGCATTTAATACACAGAGCTGTAGATCACTGACAAGCTACGCACTATATTTTATTATTATTATTTTTTTTTTATAGTTATATTTAATGGGTCACACTGTGTGCAGACTGAAAAACGTATGTGCACCCCTGTGTATATGTATATAAATTAACACACATGTTGCAACAAGGCTTATATTTGTGAGTTATATTATATTTTTAAAATGAAGAGATTGGTTCCAAAACGCAATAAACGGCATTTTTTTAAGAAAATTGCGTTTCCACCAAAATCAGTATTGTATCTGGTCGGCATTGAAAAGTCAATTTTTAATTTTATGCAAATTGCGATATCCGCCATGTTATTCTGTCATGTTTTCTCGCTTTCTTTCCAAACCACGACAAACGCCAGTCTCCCTTCTCTGCAGAATGCGATACATCCGCTCAACCAATCACAGCGCACCACTCCACGCATGTGATTGTCATGCGCATCTCGTCAGTAAAGCCGGTTCTGTGATTAGTAGTAAATCTCCATCACGTGCTTTCAGATGGAGCGGCATTTAATACACAGAGCTGTAGATCACTGACAAGCTACGCACTATCGCGTTCATAATCGCAGATGAATCACATTCGATTATGAATGCGATATTGTCAGTGTAAGTGCTTTTATTAATGCCATTAATGTTTTTGTTAATACAGCATATAGCACTAGTCAACTAAATAATGTAATATGGCAAAGATGAATGCAATTTTGGAAGTTTTAGTCCAGTGCCTGTATATAAGATTAGTATTGACCAAGTTCAAAAGTTTCAATATGAAAAATAAAATAACTTTTATATTGATTCAATAGATTTATTGCATTTTGGAAAAAAAACTAAAAAATATACGTGTCATGGATTTATTGTATTTTTTTTTTGGGGGGGGGGGGATCAGTTTTTATAATAAATCTTTGAAAATCAAAATCTGGATTTTAATTTTTCATGTTATTATAACCTAAAGATGCTATGTGAAAGTTTGAAACAGTGGTGAAAGTGGTTTTCATCTTGCCACTTTCTTGGTAAAGAAAACACAATTTTAACCAAATGGATTTATAGCGTTTTGGAACCAAACTCTTCAAACATTATACAAGTTAATAGGCTATAGTGTGAAGTCTTAACTTTAAACAGTTTCATGACTTTATACATATGGTAACTGAACTGCATAAAATGAGATAACTTTCACATAAGTTTCACATGGATACTTAAAATACATATTGCTGTTTTTTTGAGAGAATCATTTAAATTAATTTCTGTGATAATTGACAAGGTGCCCCAAATGCTGTTGAAAGAGCTTGATATAACATATAGCACATAAAATCAATGACAACCATAAATGATCTTTCTCCCTCTCATTCCAAGAGTTCTGTGTGAGCAGGTTGGTGACCTTTGACCCTGAGCATTACCTGATTCGGCCACATCGACGATGGCCACTCCCTGCTCCTGAGCCATAAACCCCAGGACGGAGAAGATGGCAAAGCCTGACACGAAACTGGTACCGCTGTTCAGGCATCCGAGCAGCATGCAGTCCCTGAACACACACACACAATACCTGTACAATAAATAGACAGCATACAAACATAAAAACATGCACTTAAAACATGCAAGTCCTCACCTGTAACAGTTATACTTGTACTTGTTGTAGCTTCCCAGTGATGTCATTGCACCAAGACAAATAGCATAAGAGAAAAAGATCTGAGTGCCTGCATCAATCCACACCTACATCAGTCCACAGAGACAGAGATTTCAGTTTGCCACATCACATTTCCATCAAATGCAAAACAACAATGCACAAAGATTTCTTTCTGTCCGTCTCAATACCTCAGGATCTTTTAGGCGGGTCAGATCAGGGTAAAGGTAAAACTTGATGCCCTCGGCAGCACCAGGCAGAGTCACACCGCGAACCAGCAGCACAATCAGCATGAGGAAAGGAAACGTTGCTGTGAAATAGACCACCTACAGACAGACCGAGAAGAGGCCAGAGGGGTTCGTGGATTTCCATTATGAATATAAAATAATTATACACCTACATAAAGCAAGCCATATTCACAAATGAAACCCACTGAGTACCACAAACTCTGAAAGAATGGATTTCTGTGTAATTCGCTCATTCTTTCGTAAAGCGCTGCATTGAATTGAATGGTTTTACAAATGATTTACACACAAATCAGTTCTGCTCGTGTTTCATGAATGAGACTCAGTGTGTGTCTGCGATTATAATCCTACACAGTTTCTAGACTGAAAGAAATATCTATATAGTGACATTTTCATGTGCACCACCAAAAACGTATCTCTATCCATTTCATTTTAGTTGACTGTGTAAAGCCTTGGTTATCTTGGGATGTCTTATAACAGCTGTGACTTTTCACATGGCTATATTTTTAATTAGAAAAACTTGATTCTTTTAAAGACCCCGTAAAAACATTTTTTGTGGTTTTTAGTTCATGTCTATTAGCTTAGAGCTCATCTATACACTGCTGGTCAGTAAGAATGTTTTTTTCTTGAAATAAATTCATACAAATTAAATTGATCAAAAGTGACATTAAAGACATTTATAATGTTACAAGAGATTTCTATTTTAAATAAATGCTGTTCTTTTGAACTATTTATTTATCAGAAAATCCTGAAAAGAAATGCATCACAGTTTCCACAAAAATAAAGCAGCACAACTGTTTTCAATGCTGATAATAATAAGAAATGTTGAATCAGCATATCAGAATGATTTCTGAAGGATCATGTTTTAATGATGTTGAAAATTCAGCTTTGCAGCACAGAAATAAATTACAATTTAAAATATATTCAAATAGAAAACAGGGATTTTAAATTGTAATAATATTTCACAATATTTCAGTTTTTACTGTATTTTTAATCAAATAAATTCAGCCTTGATGAGTAAAAGAGAATTCTACTGCTGACGCCAAATGTTCATGTATGCTAGTGTGCTTAAAAAAAAAGGATCAAAAGATATTTATTCTTATTATTCATCTTACTTCCTGTTACAATAGGCAATATAATATCATAAATTATACAGTACTGTCATTAAAAATATCTGAATTTTTGTGTTCTTAGCTACTTCTGTAATCAAACACATGGTAAAATTCAAAGAAACCAAGGAACTAGGACTAACTGAAAATCTTGACTTATGAATATTAATATGAAGTATTCCTATCTGATTTATTGAAAGGCCAGCAACAACCACTTGGCTTCTGCTTGGTCATTTTATGCAGTCGGCTACATTTTTCACTATGGTCATAAAATATAATGACCAAAATGTGGAGGAACAAACTTAGATATTACTAAAAGTTTAATGGCTGTTACATCCCTGCTTATGACATTTTGGTGGACTTTTCTCATCCTCTCCCTCACCTTGCCGGTGGATTTGACTCCTTTCCAGATGCAGAAGAAGCAGATGATCCAGACAGCCAGCAGGCACAGTGCCAGCTCCCACTTCAGCCCGCCGACCTCGTCGATCCCCGAAGAGATGCTGAGGACGTTCCTCCTACAGGCCAGATCAGAGTGATGAGAACGAGCGCAGATCATCTGTTCCGCACACACTCCCATGCGCTCGATACTCACTCCCAGAATTCGGTGACCGGCGAGGTGAGGTTGGCTGCGTTGGTGGAGAGCCAGAGGGTTTTGTTCTTGCGGACGGTGTCCTCCACGCAGTTCGCGGTGTTCCAGCTGTGCCTGCAGCGAGCCCAGGGCAGCTCGTGCTGGAAACACTGCAGCAGGTAGTACAGACCCCACGCCAGGATCACGATGTAGTAGATGTTCAGCAGAGACACGATCACGATCGAGGCGTAGCCGATTCCTAAAGCATATACAGAACACAAGTCAATATGAAAACAAAACTCACCCTGTTTGCTTTCCTAAAATATAGTTCTGGTTTACTTTTATTATAATGATATATAAATGTATTTTGTATCTAAATATATATCAATTATATCATATATACATTTATTTACACTACCATTTAAAAGTTAGGTTAAAATGTTTTTTTTAAAAGAAGTCTCTCATGCTCACCAAGGCAATCAAAAATAAAGTTCAATCATGACAACTCTCGGGAACATTTTAGCATGGTGATGGATATGACAATATTAATGTATTTGGTCTTGGCAGAACAGATCTGCTACGCTGCTGCTGCTGATGGTTATTGCTGTAGTTGTAGATTATTGCTGCTGCTGCAAGCAAGTACAGGAACTTGCTACTGCCAATGCATATGGCGATACGGTGCTATGAGTATTTAAGACATGCTGCTGCTGCACAAATAGCATATAAAATAACCCCGTAGCAGATCTATACAGGTGGAGCTGGGGAAGGTGGAGGGTTTCAGAGAATGAATGAATGAATGAATGAATGAATGAACTGAATGGTTTCAGAGAACTCGGAAAGCGCGCTGCAGTAATCTCAAGTGAATGCTTGCCAGCCATATAAATGCAAGGCAGTAAGCTCATTGGCTGCATATGCAGCATGAACCAATCAGCTTGTGCCAAGTCATTTAACTCTCTGAATATCATCAGTTACATTAACACCCCGTCAGAATGCGCCATCTAGAGTTTCATGACTGAACTATATATTAAAAACAAAAATATTATGAAATATTACAATTTAAAATAACTGTTTTTTTATTTGAATATATTTTAAAAAGTAATTTATTCCTGTGATGCAAAGCTGAATTTTCAGCATCATTACTCCAGTCTTCAGTGTCACATGATCCTTCAGAAACTATTCCAATATGCTGATTTGCTGCTCAACAAACATTTGAACAGTAATTCAAAAATGTTACAGTAGTACAAAAACAGGAGTTTGTATAAACTATATTGTAGTCTAAATAGTATATTTCAATATGTAAATAATAACTGTATCTAACATTAGCCAGGAGAAATAAATAAATAAATACTATTATGACAAACTGGAAAATTTGACCTTTATTCACTTTCATTTTATTTATGTATGTATTTGTTTGTTTGTTTATATATTTATCTATATTGTTTTATTTATTTAAAATTTATTTTAATTTAAGTCTTTAATTTTGATTGATATCTTGCTTGAGAGCCATTAAGTAATCATTATTCATATAATGTTCTCTCTTATAAAATATAAATGATTGTAGGCCTAAATGTCAACAGCACTGTTCAATGAACTGACGTCTGTCAGGTAAAACATGAGCTCACTGATCTAATTCAATCAATCTGTCGTTACTCCTACTTCTTTAAATATTTAGTTTATATGTAGGGTTTTATGGATCAGCACTCAAATATTTAGTAGCGAAACAACTAACTTGCACACAGCTGGTGCAACCATACCCTGATAAATGAAATCAAGTCTCTCCCTGCATCGTATTTCCCCTTTAGAAATGTCAAAGTATGGGTTGAATATCATTTCATAAATGATAAGACAAGCATCACTACTTGCACCGCATGTAACCTGTCGCTCTTTCTTTGTGTGACAGATATGAATGATACCTCAAATTATGCAGCTTGTTGACGAGAGGAGCCATATCTAAGCAGAGCGCAATGTGAGACTTAATGAGACAGAGAGCCGCTGTTCTCTCTGAGAGCTCTGCTGTGTGTTAATTTTATTGTCTGAAATTTTATTTTTGGTGTTAATTTTTCTAGGGTTGAGGGCAGTCAAAGGGCAGAACACCAGTTTTATGCTATAATTAATATAAAGTGCCATAAGCTCGCTCCACGGTGCCAGGAGCCGCTGTGACCACTGACAACAGAATGCCAAACGTGCATTTGAGGATGTAAGAACAGGACTTCACTGTAGATGTGTGCGCGTGTTCATGAGAGAATAGTCAGCTGTCGGTGAGACTAAGAATATAATCATTGGGTGAAAGGGGACAATGAGCTCACGCCGTCAGGAAATATCACACATCTGCACTGTATGTGCTAATTACACCCCAGCCACGTGAGCAACGTGCCCGTGCAAGTGTGCATATAGAGGTCAGGAACCAAAATAATAAAAATATCTCCTAAGACAGGGCTTTTCAAAATGGGGCCTGGAGACTCCCAGGGGGGTCGCAAGGGATTGCTAGAGGGTCTATGGAAAAGTTGAAAGAAAAGCAGTGTAAAAAATGTAAAACTAAATAAATAACATTTTAATTAAACTAACTAAATTAATTAATTAATTAATTAATTTGATTTAAATAAATAATAATAAATGAATATATTTGATTGAAATAAATTGCTTAAAATAAATAAAATGTAATTTAAATAACTAAAATAAATAAATGTTATAAAATAAATAAATATATAAAATGATTTTATTTAATTGATTAAAATAAATAACTGATTAAATACATTTAATTGATTAAAATAAATAAATTTAAAATAATTAAAGTAAATAAAATAATACAATTTGGTTAATAAAAATATATAGAAATGACATTTTACTAACTAATAAGACTAAATAAAAATATTAAAATAAATAAATACAATTTTACTTAACATTAATAAACTTGATAAAATACATAAAATTCGGTTTAAACAAAAGTAAGAAAAGCAGTGTAAAATTAAAAAAATAAATAAACTAAATAAGATTAAACTAACTAAAAACTTCACTAACTAAAATAAATACATTTTTACAATTTAATAAATACATTTTTTTGTATATTTTACACAGTATTAATAAGTCTTTTTTCTCTTTTTTAAGTCTTTTTACATGAGAATATATAGCTGTTATATAAATTAAAAAAAATTAACATTTGATTTAAATAAATGAATATTAAAATTATACCATTAATTAAAATTATTTGATTAAATAAGTAACTAAATAAATAAACAAAATCAGGTGATTAAAATAGATACATTTAAAGTGAATAAAATTCGATTTAAATAAAATAAATGATAAAAAATAAGTAAATAAAATGTGATTCAAATAAATAAAAATAAGAAATGCATTATAAACATTTTAAAATTAATAAGATCAACTAATAAAACTAATTAAATAAATAAATAGATTTAGCTAACATTAAAATAAAATACATTTTGATTTAAATAAATATGTAAAAATGTAAAAATAAATAAATATAAGATTAATAAGATACTAACAAAATAAATTTGATTTAAAAAATTATATATATATATATAATTTAATAAATAAAAAATATAATGTATATAGGGTCTTTCTACATGAAAATACAGCTGCTTTTACATTTTAGGATGGGGGTCCCTCGCATGAGGATGATTATATTTGGGAGTCTGTGGAATCTAAAAGATTGAAACCCTAGTTCTAAGAAATGCCTCCTGTCCTGTTGTTTCTCATTAAATTACGGCTGCTTCTAACACAACCACTACATTTTGGCTCCTGAGCTGAGAGGAGATCCCATCGCAAGCATCTCAGTCACCTCTCACGGCTGTTGCCATGGAGATCAGAATACATGTCCAGAGCGGGGTGTTAGTCACAGCACTCTGAAGTAGAGAGCGGCGCAAAGCAAACAAATCATGGGGAAATAAACGCACATGTACTGCATGTGTATGAGTGACCAGCATCCCACTCACACACAGATAAGAACACACAGAATCCGAACATGACGACGCGTTTGAAAAGAGCACAGCGTCTTCTAGTGTTGCCTAGCAACTGCAGCAGATGCTGAAAGCGGGTCAGAGTGAAGATGATTTAACAAGCCACTTCATCAGCCAATCAGACTCAAAGCGCATCACAGTAACGGCCATGCCGATTGGTCGAAGCTGCCGTGAGGGACCACGAATAGCCGGTAGGGGGGATGGGAGCATTATGAAATATGATTTATGCTGATTAAAATGTGCTTGAGCCCAATGAGTCATTAAATACCATCAAAGTCAGACCTGTCTCATCCTCTCTCTTCACTCTCTCATCCATTTGTCTCACCAGTGAAAATGGGGCAGAGTTTCCCCCAGCAGGTGATTCCTCCCTCAGAGGTGAACTGGCCGAGTGCCACCTCCAGAAAGAAGACGGGCAAACCTCCACCAAACAGAAATATGAAGTAGGGGATGAGAAATGCACCTGGAAACACCAACACAAGATAATGAAGGTGCACATAATACAAAAACCCAGCAAAGAAAACCACATTGAAGGAAGTTAAATGACCAGAAACACAACAAAAATTATACTTGCTGTAATGCAATTGCAATGGACATCACTACCTTGAAAAATAGTTCTTCCACTAAAATGACAATTTATATAATTTTACAGTTTAAATATTACAGATTTTTGTATAAAATAATTAAAGCGCTTTAACTATTATAAGCGTTTTAGCTAATATTATAGTATATTAATAATATAACATGGTAATCAACAGTATATGTCACAGATGCTACTGAAAGCGTGTAACTGGTATTGAATCTGCAAGCAGTTTTGTTATTGTTAACTATTAAAAATTGTTTCTGATCATTGCAAAAGCTTTAAAAAAAAATGTAAAAAAATTATATATATATATCATTGCAAAAGCTTAAAAAAAAAAGTTGAAAAATTATATATATATATATATATATATATATATATATATATATAAACACCGAATTAAAAACTTGAAAAAAAAGTTGCCTTGGCAAATAATTCAAATAAAAGTAGAAAAATTGCTAAATAGAAATAAAATAATTAGAGCACATAACAAAATTAAAATAAAATTACATTTAAAATAGGGCTGTGCGATTAATCGAAATCATCATAAAATCGCGATTTGAGCTTGCGCGATTTCTAAATCGCTTTATAGCACGATTTTCCGCGCCCCCGACCTCCCACAGTATGCTATCCGAACCAATCAGAATGCAGTGCGCCTAAATGGAGCACGAGAACAGAACAGACCG